TTATTAGGAAATAAGGTGTTAAATATCTCAACTCCTTACGGGCTGATTAACCATAGAAAAGTGGCAATTTTATTTTGTTCGCTTTCATTAGTTTTATTACTGGCAATTAGATATATTAAGAATGTTTGTTTCCATCCTGGCCACTCTTTGGTTAGGTTCGTGCACTCAAGTGGTTGTGGCAAGCGTAAATCCATTTTCTTTTTCTTTGAGTATTTTGTATCCCACTTCTGACACCATGTAACAAGTTGTTAGGTTTTAATCGTTGATCTTTATTTTAGTTGTTTAGCTCTGTTATTACAGTTTTACAATCAACGGTATTTTTTAATCTTTCCTTCTATCTAACCATTAACGCCGCCTAAAAGCTTAGCGCACGCACGCATGTCTAGATGGACGTACTTACATGACAACCGTATGAGGCCCTACAGGAACGCATCGAACGCCATCTAGGGGACTAATTGACATTTTATTACACTTCATGTAATACACATTTATTTTTAGTTTTAAGTAGATTTTTTATACGTTGATTAACCGTGTTGAAAATGAACGTCAATGGATAATCGTTATCTAGTAAAATGTTAATAATAAAAATTAAATTTTTCTTGTGAAATGTAAAGTTAGAAAGTAAAAAAGCTCTGTCGACTAACGAAAAAATTGTGCCTTTCTTTTGTGCAATTGAATGATTAGAGTGAAAATTTAAAATCTCCCTGAAAAAGTGGGCTTACGGTTCCATCCACGTCTTCAATTCACTTCATTCCATCAACCAATTCATTCCATCCACGTCTTCAATTCACTTTAGAACTGAGTGGAGAAAAATTAGAATTTTTGGATACTACAATAATTATCAGCAATAGAAAATTTGTTTTTAATTGGTACCGTAAGCCCACTTTTTCAGGGAGATTTTTAAATTTTCACTCTAATCATCCAATTGCACAAAAGAAAGGCACAATTTTTTCGTTAGTCGACAGAGCTTTTTTACTTTCTGACTTTACATTTCACAAGAAAAATTTAACTTTTATTATTAACATTTTACTAGATAATGATTATCCATTGACGTTCATTTTTAATACGGTTAATCAACGTATAAAAAATCTACTTAAAACTAAAAATAAATGTGTATTACATGAAGATTTGGTTGACATGAATGTCTGTACTAATGAATCCGCATCGTGGCTTACGGTACCATTTATTCCTCTTCACACAGAGAAATTTAAGCGGCTCAACAGTAACGACATCAGGGTGTCATTTCGTAGTCCTAATAAGATAGGAAAATACATTAAGGTTCAAAAGGATAAATGCCCCCCCCCCACATCAAAAAGAAATGTAGTTTATAAGATCTCGTGCAACAATTGCGATGCATCATACGTGGGCTAGACAGGCAGACAATTAAAAACCAGAATTACGGAGCATCGTAACCATATCAAATACAATACACCTACTCGATCAGTCATAACGGAGCATAGATTACAGTATGACCATGACTTCCAATGGGACAACGTAAGAGTTTTAGATGAAGAACCTTGCTACAGGAAACGCCTAACTTCCGAGATGCTCAACATCAAAAAGCAGACCGTTAGTTTAAATTTACAAACTGACACGGAAGGTCTCCACAAGGCATATACTCCTATTATAAATAAACTTTAACTCTTTGTTACTAACATTCCATCTCCTCTCTCAGTATGTGTTGATCTGTATCGGCAATCGGATGTGTAAGAAAGTACATTATAATTGTCGCACAATGTTCGCTTTATGCCGACATACCATATACAACCGTTTTCTATGGAAAAATTTTAAAGTAATTTACACATGCCTTTTGGTAAGTTATTATTGTTTGAATTTATACGTTTATATTGTAATGTGACTATATTGTATTGTGATTAGATTTTCAAGAGTCATTGATCACGAATGGCATGTGAACGGCGTAGATTTTTACATCCGAACAAGATTTATTATGCGTTTTTTTACAAGACCTTATATCAAATCCATGTAAAACTGTATCTGAAGAGGGCTCAATCTGGTAGCCGAAACTTTTATTATAATTTATTTATGTGTTTCTCAATTTATTTAATTAAATGTTATTTTATATTTTATATTCAGACTGACTCAATCTTTCATGTTTCACCAATTTTCGGACTATAATTTTTACGTATTGACTCTTACTTCGCCCTTTATTTATTATTTTTATTCTCCTCTTTGTTAGATATTTTATTTAAATCGACGATTAAAAGTATAATTTCTTTCGTACAATGAATTGTAATTAAATTTTTTATTTTAACAAAATGCAATTGTTAAAAACCACATTTATAATGTATTGAATCGATCACATTTTTAAGTGAAACCGAACTTATTATATATATAATTATTATTCATATTTTATAAAAATTGAGTTATTACAGAAGTACGATTTACAATTTATTGCTCAATTTCCACCGCAGTGATTAAACTTTGAAACCAATTAACTTGATTTTAAAATCTATCATAGTAGGAATAATATGGGAATTCTAACTCAGTTCCTCCGAGGGGGGAGCGGGGCGTATTCGTAGACGCGGGGAGGGAAGGGAGGGGATAGCGCGGGGAAGGCCGAGCATGGTGACGCGATCAGTGGTATCGCTGTTTACGTAAACAGCGATACCATTGATACGCGCCGCCGCCGCCGTCCTCCTCAAAACGGGCCGCCGCCCTCCCCAAAATGCGTTGTCCCCAAAATGCGTCGGGGTGTTATTTAATATGACAAAGAAGCGTTCTACATGTATTATTTAATATGACAAAAAAGCGTCGATATTTTTTCTACATGTCGCAGCACGGCGAGAGAAGCGCCGACCGCTGTTTATCTAAACGGAATGCACATAGGATGGGAAGTAAAGACCGTACACGGCGATGCGAGAGAATGAAAAAAAATATTTTATTCATATTTTTTTTATATACATCATTTCCTTCGTACGTATTAATAACTAAAGCTAAGAGCTCGCAATTGACGAACTGATGCGTGTTGAAAATGCCGCTGTCGCGTATAGCGTTCTCTGACATCGCTAGCAGCGCTTTCTGGAAAAAAGAGAACAAAAGTACTTTTTGATCATTATTCGCTTTTACAGCAGAGAATAAAATGCATTAGTCATCCTAAACGCGTCTATAAACAAAAAAAATACTTACCTTATGGCTTATATTTTGATGGTATTAATGGCGTTGTTGATGATGTTGATGTTGATATTGATGATGATGTTAATGTTGATATTAATGATGATGACGGCGACGACGACGGCGACGACGACGACGACGATGATGATGAAAACGTTGGCGACTTTGATGCTTTTTCACCAGGACATTCCCAATATCTCACTTTTTCCCTCAATGATGATGATGATGAAAACGTTGGCGACTTTGATGTTTTTTCTCCAGGACATTCCCAATATCTCACCATTTCCCTCGATGGTGGTGGACTTGGCGGAGCTGGTGGCAAGAGACGGTACCCCTTGCGCTCGACCGATTTTCGATGTATATATTTTTTTAGTCGATCCATGTCTTAATGTAATTGAGGCTTACCATTGAATGAAAAAAGCTTTATACACTGTCCGATCGGTGATACGTCGCGACGCGTTTAAGAGAAGCGCCGATCGGCTGCTCAACAAAACAACTCTTCTACAATAAAGAAAGTGACTCTTCTGCAGTGAGACAAAGAAGTATGAAATCACATTGCGTTCTCACAGTTCTTTCTTTCAAGGCTAAGAAGCACCGATAACGATATTTTTCTAGGAAGAGACACGTCGCCGATACTGTGACCACACAGTGTAATCTAATAGGGCATAGACAAAGGGACAAAGAAGTCGCAAACGAAATATATAATGGGTCATAAGCACCCGGCATCTCAGTTGGTGCTCTGGAAGATTACCGAATCGATCGCAATAAGAGTAATCGGAAAGTATGGCTGACCATCGTGCGAACGTCGAAGATATAGTGTTCGAGAATATCAGAAACGTGGATCCGGAACACCTCAAACATATTATAGACGAGGTGTTTGAAGAAATGGAAATAGATTTTGAGGAGATAATGGACCAAGAGTCGTCAGACGAAGAAGTATTATCCGACGATACTGGATGTGCGAGTGATTTAAGCGAGTACAATATGGATCATGTAGAAAAACATGTATCATCTCCAGAAATTCGCGCTCTGAACATTCGTACTAAACACTGCATGATCCAGTGCTACTACACAACGGGTGGTACGTATACAGTATGTGCATCATGCATAATTAATATATCGGACACTGACATCGACGTAATGTATCTCGTCAGGAAGCACTGAGAGAATCGGTGCGTTAGATGGCCGATCGTGCTCTAATTGTAGACAACCGATGTACACTGTATTTCCATGCAACGTGTGTCCAATGTGCACATATTAAAAAAACTATTGTGAACAGTATTGTCAATAATATTGTGAACGTGAAAAATATGGCTGGCCATCATGCAAACGTCGAGGACATAGCGTTCGAGGATATCGAAAACGTGGATCCGGAACAGCTTGAGGATTTCAGACGAGGCAGATGAAGAATATGAACCTGCTGCATACGATGTGCTGGACGTTCTCAGTAATCCGCAGAGAAGAGACGAAGTTACGCGAATATCATCGGTGCAGTTCCTACGCGATCGAGAATTAGGTATACGCGGAGAGAGACAGTGGGTTGTTATCAGAGAACCCATTTATTATTGGTCCTTACTCGTGCGACAGAAAGTGTACCCGCGTACACTTACGAAAATAAGAGAGGTACAAACGGGTACAAACGATTCTCTTTCGAATGCCATTGGTCCCATTTCGATATCTTGAAAATTGGCAAAGTTAGTTATATAGGGCTTGCGCAAAAATTGAAAAGCGCGGTATCTCCGAACCCTTTGAGGTACAAACGAAAATAAAAGAGGTACAAACGGGTACAAACGATTCTCTTTCGAATGGCATAAATGAAATTAAAAAATCTTAAAGTTGCGCGCTGGCCATTTTTTATTTTTCATTTTTTGTTTAACTGTTTGAGGTACAAACGAAGTACAAACGCGCTACGGTATTAATTTTTATTTTTGATAAAGTTGGGCGCCAGGTTCACATCGGTGAGACGAATGTTACAAGAATGATGATGACAATGAAAAGAGATGGTTAGCCGAACATTGGTGGGCTAGGATTTTTCACAATTTCAATGTAATAAAGGACGATTATTATTGGACGAAGAAAATTGCGAAAAAGTGCGAGTATCTCAGCATGTGCATTAAGATTCCCGCGTAGTGAGAAGTGCGTCGAACTGCTAATAATTGACAATATATGGACGGAGTATTATTGCGACCGCGATAAGATTCCTGTGCTAAAACTGTTTCTTGACAAGTGCGATGAACAATGCTATGAGTGTGAAGAGTGTGACCTTTACACATAATAGCAAGTTGCTAGATCAATATTTCGATCTAAACATAAGTCAATGTTGCAACGCGTGTGTACGAGTCACGTGCAAGTTCTCCGTAGAAGAGTGTGACGTGATCTAAGACTGAAAAAAAAATAAAAAAAAGACATAGAAAACTACGAGCGAGTGAAACGCGAACTGTTGGAGCAGTGCGATCAGGTCGCTAATCTAGCGGAGTGTCTCGCGTGGTTGCAACGGTGCGACGAGTGCATCGAGCGGCTGGAAGAACTGTGTCGTGCCAAGCGTCCGCGGCTCGCCATCGGACACAGACAATGCTTGGTGGCGAGGATCGCGCGAATCGCGGGTGCGAAGACTCAATTAGAGCGACGTTTCGTACACATTGGTGGTGAGTACGCGAGTGAGAACAACAGATCTCTCGTCTGGTGAGAGATCAATGCCGCGTTCGAGAGTCGTGTTCTGACCGATGCGGTGATCAACGCGGATTACATTGAGCCGCGACGGTTTTTAGAAGACGCTGGCGATGTAGTGCTCGAGCGAGTGCGAGACGCTGTAGAGAGACACGGTAGTGTAAAGGTGAACACCACGTTCAACGGTGAGTTTATGGCGAACGATAAACGCGCTAATAAAGTATAAACACTGAGAACAGTGAACTATATCGATGCACCGATTTGCGCGAGTGGTACGCGTCATCGAGCCCGCGTTGGCGTCGCTCGAAGAGTTCCAGGAACGTGACAGTGGGTGGGCGCTATCGCGAATCCACAACTTGACTGTTAACGTGAACAAACTGAATCCCATGCGCGCGGGATGTCACATAGACGTGCCGCAAGAAATTATGCTTAAGAAAGCGGTGATCAGTGTACATTCGACGGACAATGCGTGCTTCGCGTGGTCGGTGGTCGCCGCTCTATACCCTGCTGAAGAACATGCGAATCGTGAATCTTCATATCCACATTATATGTCGGTGTTGAACCTCGCGGGTATCGAGTTTCCGATGACTTTAAAAGACATTTCGAAATTCGAACGTTTGAACATGATGTCGATCAATATATACGGCATCGAAGATAAACAGGTTCTTCCTCTGAGACTCACCGGTGACAAAAAGGAGAATCAACTTATTGTACGTGCAGAATGACAATGCGGGGCACTTTGCATGGATTAAGAATTTATCTCGTCTAGTGAGATCACAAATTACTAGGAACAAGAACAAGAAATTTTTCTGCGACCGGTAAGCGTGATAAGAAAAAATTAATAAAAGAAAATATTTAAAAACGATAGAAAAAATAATTTTTTTATTTACAGATGCCTCCACTATTTCGGCTCGAGCGCAAAGTTGGAGATCCACAGCGAAGACTGTGGTAGGACGAACAACTGCGCCATTCGACTACCGAGCGAGGACGACAAATGGTTGGAATTTAGCAATCATTATAAGAAGGAGCGCGTTTCCTTCATCGTATACGCCGATTTAGAGTGTGTGCTGCAGAAGACGGAAGATGCATCATCATCATCATCGTACGCGTACTAGCAGCATGAAGTATTCAATATCGGATACTATGCACTGAGAGAAAACAAAATAGTTCTAGCAATTATAAATTTGGCAACTTTTGCAATTGAAGTACCTGTAACTAGTTTTACAAAGTAATAGAAACTAAAGTAGTGCTGAATGTTATAAAAATATAGTCACGGTAACAAATTGTATGCACTATTAATTGGTAGTGAAATAGTAACTCAACTACATTGAGTAGTTACTTGGACTTCATGCAAGTAGATATAATAATTACATTTTTCTAGTTTAGACAAAAATTTTTAAAGTGTCGCTCAGTACGAGTAGTACGCGGCTTTGTCACCAGAGGGACGTAGCGGAGTTCAGTTTCTCCTAAAAAGGAAACCACTCAGCTTACAATAAAAGGCGCAGCGTTGGTTTCAAACTTGGAAAACAAAAATAAATAAGATACGACTGATACGACTTTTTTCTCTGAGTGCGTGCACTGCTCGTACGATGACGCGTCATCGTCGTATCAGTTCCATCGCGATAAAGACTGCATCGCGTGGTTCGCGCGCCAACTCGCGGATTTGGCGCGTCGCGTTAAAAACATAGTATCCGCTAATGTATCTATACACTCAGAGAAAAAAATCGTATCAGTAACAATAAATTTGTAGCAAAATAGCACCTCAACTATATACATATTAAATTCTAATACGAGAATACTAGATTAAGTGAACTAAGAAAATATAGTGCATTAACCATATAATCAATTTATAAATGGTTAATATTACTGTATTTTCTTAGTTCACTTAATTTACTTATTGTTCTTATTAAAGCTTTATAATACATAGTTACAAATTTGTGTATGCATTTCTTATTTATTTTTGTCTTCCAAGTTTGAAACTAACGCTGCGCCTTTTATTGTAAGCGAGTGGTTTCCTTCTTAGGAGAAACTGAACTCCGCTACGTCCCTCTGGTGACAAAGCCGCGTACTACTCGTACTGAGCGACACTTTAAAAATTTTTGTCTAAACTAGAAAAATGTAATTGTTATATCTATTTGCATGAAGTCCAAATAACTACTCAATGTAGTTGAGTCACTACTTCATTACCAATTAATAGTGCATACAATTTGTTACCGTGACTATATTTTTATAATATTCAGCACTACTTTAGTTTCTATTACTTTGTAAAACTAGTTACAGGTACTTCAATTGCAAAAGTTGTCAAATTTATAGTTGCTGGAACTATTTTGTTTTCTCTCAGTGTAGAAAAGTTATCGAAGCAACAGTAGGAGGCATACCATAACGCGACGCGTTGCCATATTTGTGAACAATCATTCGCGCCGGACGACACTGGCTACGTTTACACCGTGTGCTTAGTCCACGACCTATACGATAGATGTCTTTATTTAACTTACAGGATAAACAAGGACATCTAGGGTATGATATTAGGCCATAGTTTTTTAAAATGCAAAAAACATACATTTATTCTTGTTACTTTTTAACAATGTTTGGGATATTACTTTCACTGAAGCTTAAAGTAACAAATACTACCGAACTTAAAGAGAAAATATTTAACAGAACTTTAATTTTATCAAAATATTACAAAGTATGCATTGGCCATCTTATTTGATTTTT